AGCTGAGTATGATCGATAAACTTATTCCTATTCTCAGGAGCCTTGTCACTAGCATAAGCGTTAGGGCAAGTGAAAGCGGGAGGAACAGGAGTCATACCCTTGAAGAATGGAACGGGGAAGGACATTATTTGATGTGTAGTAAGAACTATAAAACCTAAAGAGATGAGCTTACAGAGATAATTCGATTCACAACCGCTCCAATATTATTTCTACAACATATTATTTGACCCTTGAGCTATGGACAGTTCTACTAGCGTCAGGAGCTTCAGCTTCGTCTAAGCCCGGGAGACAGAACTTGTGACCCAGCGCATTTTCATGAAGCAATACTTCGAATATCACCGTACGAGGACTTCATAGTGTGATTTGATATGTTGTTGAGCATTTCGTCATCGTAAGGCCCATCAACATTATATATCAGAAATGCCTCTTAGAGAGGAAACTCAGAGCGGAGATAATTCAAGAAAATCGATTTAGAGGATGGCAATAGACTTCGCATGATATCGAGAATCACACCAGAGCCTACTAGCCCTACCAACCAACGCTGAAAGTTGTACTGACGTTAATAACCGCTGCCAGTACCGCCGGTCATGAGGGCTACACCGTTGGAAGTGCCGATTCGAGTAGCACCGGCTTTGACCATCTTGTCCATATCTTCGGAAGTCCTAACTCCACCAGCAGCTTTCACCCCGACCTTGTCTCCAACTGTATCGCGCATGAGTTTCACATGATGCTCAGTAGCACCGAATTTGTTGAAGCCGGTGCTCGTCTTGACGAAGTCAGCGCCAGCAGAGACACACACTTTACAAGCTTCAACAACCTCATCATCGGTCAGGAGGCAACACTCCAAGATAACCTGACAGGAAAACCTTACGGTATCATATCACAGACCAAGTAGAGAGTAAGGTGCACAGCAGGACTCAATCTGGACTCCAGACTCTGCAGGGTTTACCTTCACAACTACACCGCCAGTTTGCTGGTCTGCTCCTGTGTTAGCTAGATGGGCTCTAACCGAGTTCACGACGCAGTAGACATCATCCTCAACTGCCTGGTAGTTTCTGCTCTTGATCTCGCCTACGTTAATAACCATATCCACCTCCCTAGCCCCGTCCTTCACGGCCTCAACAGCTTCCAGCCCCTTCGAAGCTATTGACGAGGCCCCAAGGGGGAACCCTATGACGGTACAAACTCTAACATCTGTCCCTTTCAATAATTCGTGGCCCAATGGAACCCAGTAAGGATTGATACACACGCTGGCGAAGTCGTATTGTTTGGCTTCCTCACAGAGCTTTCGGATTTGGCTTTCGCTTGCTTCCGGCTTCAGCAGAGTATGATCGATTAGTTTATTTTTCTTAGGAGGCAACTTGGATGAGGCGTAGGCATTTGGGCAAGTGAAGGTTGGAGGCTCCGCGCCAGACCCTCTAACGAAGGGAACCGCGTAACTGGGCATTGCACAGGTTCGAACAACTATACATATTCGTGCACACTGACTTGGGCATCTCTCGAGTTGAGCACGACGCGCGCGTTCATTTGCACGCATGAACATGAATAGCACCGCATTGGACTTCGAAGCTTTCTACTTGTTGCTTTACGACCAAAAGAAGGAGGCTCCCATCCGACGACCATGACCCAACTGATGAACTTGGAACAACATTCCATCCTGATAAAGTCGCTGACATCATTGGACATCTCATGAGTTACGAATTAGAGTGAGTGTAG